TTTTTTTTTTTTTTGTTAAGTCCTAAAAAGTCTTATTAGACTGGTCAGTCTCCAGCCTCTCTGGGGACTCGGAGAGCCTGGGAGAGCCCACAACCCCTTGTCTCATTTAAGCCCCAGAGCAGGAAGGCTATTGGAACCTGCAGCATCTGTTTCTGACTCAGACCTTGGGGCTTGGGGGGTCCTTTGGGCCTGGACCTTGAGTAGCCTGGAGAGAGGCCCAAAGGGCAGTGGGGTGAGTTTACATGCCTGCCCCAGGGGCAAAGGGACTTGCCAAAGTTAACCCTTCATTCTTGGCATTCAAGGTGAGCCCCTCTGAGTGCTGCTGAGGAAGGAGACTCCCCCAGCCCAGCCCCCTAGCCCTAGATGCTGGGAAGAGTGAGGGAAACTGGGAAGGTGGTATGGGGCAGAGGGTAGAAGGTTCTGAAAGGAGGAGCAGAAAGGGACGGGGGCAAATCCTGGGAGAGGTGGAGTCCTGACTTCAGTCTCTGCATGGAATTCTAGTGGAACCGTTTCTAAGTCATCCCTTCCATCACCTGGTCAGGCAGGACCAGGCTGCTCTGTGGCACAAAAAACGAGGCTGTGGCTCCTCACCCTGCATGCCTCTCCCTGTGTTCTGGAACTCAAGCAACCTGTGGCTTGCCCCAATACAGGTGGCAGATCTGCTGCTGCCCCTGGCTTCTGGGCACACTCGTCCTGTTAGTCCTGCTTTTCACTGCTTCACCGTGTTCTTTCAGAGCCCTCCCCTCCAGCCGTCTCTACCTTCCCACTCTTCCGGCCAGCCTGCCGACCAGACTGAACTGGTGTGGAAGAAGTCCCCTGCCCCCACTCCCCTGGGCCTTGGAGTTAGCGCTTCCAGCCATCTAATAATTAACACGTCTTTTATTGAGCCCTTACCCTGTGCCAGACCCTGATGCCAAGTGCTTTAAATGTATTATCTATGATCTGATTTAATCCTTCTAACAACACTGGGAGATGAGAATTATAATTATCCTGATTTAACTGACAAGGAAGAGCAGTTAAGTCTCCTGCCCACAGTCACTCTGTGGTTAGCTGCTGAGCTAGCTGCTAAGCCCCCTCCCCTCCCGATAGGCTCCTCCCTGTGTCTTTGACAGTTGACCAGGACTGAGACCCTGAGGCCTGTAACAGGAAGGAGGAGGTGAGCAGGTAGGGGAGGTGGCTCCCAGCCCAGCCTCATCCTCCTCCCCATCCTGCCCCAGGCCAACCCACACTCCAGCATAACCGGCTTCCCTCCAGCTCCAGCAGGGCCTGTCAGCAGGTGTGGGCCACTCTTTTCCCTCCAGACTGATAGAATCAGCCAGCCAGGTGAATCACAAAACAAAACGTGGTTTAGGCTCCTCAGCCCCTCCCCCAGCCCTGCCTCTCCCCCCACGCCTCGCCCCCCATACACCTCTTGACATCTGGGGCTGGGGTCTCTGGGGCCTGGTAAAGATGTTAATGTTGACCACATGGGTTTATCCCTGTCAGGACCTCAGATAGGTCTCTGAGAACCCAGGAAAATAGCACCTAGATAAGAACAAAGGGCTCCCTTGGCCAGTCCCCCTCTGGAAAAGGACCAACGTCCTAGAAGGTTCTGGCTTGGTTTGTCCCTCTCAAGCCTTCTTTCTCCCCTTGAGCTGTCCCCTGTCCCCCAGAGTAGGGATCTGGAGCGTCCAGTTGCCTAGAGGGATCCCCAGGGACCTCCCCGAGGCTGTCCTCACAGGGCTCAGGATCTGTGGTGTCTCCTCCCTGCCTGGTCTCTGCCCAGAGCCCCTGGACCCTCTGCACAAGCAGCCGTGCTCAGAAACACCCCCCAGGGCTGAAGTCACACAGGTGGGCTTCAGAGGACACCCTGGGAGGGCCATGGACAGGGCAGGCTGGGAGGCAAGAGATGCCACTAGATGACCATAGACAGCTCTGGGCCTCAGTTTCTCCAGTAAAATTAAGGGAATTCTTCCTGCGATTGAGAGGGGCTGTGGAAAGGCTAGTTGGGGTCTGGTAGAGAGTACAAATGTGGTTCAAAAATGAAGGACCACCCCACCGACTTTAGGACAGGGCAAGGTGGGGCCCCTTTGCTGTTCTTCAATCCTTAGGGCTGAGGTGATGCAGGCTTTGTGTGTGACCCACGGGGGGCCATCCTTCCTCTCTTCCTGTGCCCTCAGCCCGTTTGCCCCTGTTCCCTGCCTATTCTCATCTATCTGAACCCTCCTGGGGATGAGCCTGAGGCCACCAGGTCCCCTGGGGCAGGGGAGGGGAGGGTCGTGGGGTACAGGAAAGGAAGCAGTTGGTCCAGAACCATCCTTCTGGACTTGAGCCTGTCCAGCTGGGAGTTCCCAGCTAGACTGCCCAGGACAGGCCTGCTGCCACTTTGCAAGGTCACCAAGAGCCCCTGCTTCCCTGCCCCCACCAACCACCACAAAACTAGACACCCCTGCTGGTCCTGCTGAGTCCCTTGCAGCCTCAGAACTTGGAGATTCATAGCCATGGGGATCCTGAGTCAGCTGAAAGCACATCTCCTGGCCTGTGGTTAAGAGCATGGACTCAGCCGGACATGCTCAGGTTCAAGTCCTGCCTGCAGCATACACAGCTGAGCACTGACCCTGGGTGTCCTCTGTAAAATGAGGTCCTAGCAGACCCTACCTCTCAAAATTAAGGCTCCAGAAAGACAATGAACATGAGACTAGAACCCCACCTGGGCCCGTGACAAGGACTCAGAAAATAGTGACCGAATTCTTTTTGAGCTTCTTGTTCTTCCTTCCCTGCTGGTTGGAAGCCAGAGAGCTGCCCTGGAGCTGTGTGTTCTGGGGCTTGGGTGCACATTTCTTTAAACAATTGCCTTTGCTCATGGCTGGTGGTGGGAGGATCTG